GCGCCAATCGTATAAAGGTCGGTACAGCGCAGTGTTTTGTTTTGGTCGACCGGAGCGGAGATTGGCGAGACGCGTGAGTGCCCTGCTATCTGGAAAGCACCCCGGAGTTTTGCGTCGTAAGAATACGTAACTGAGTTTATAATTTTTTGTTTTCGCCTAAAGTTCGAAATGGTTAGCGACTTAGTGTATATTTTTGAAGGGAGTAAAGGTAAACATGATGTTATTTGATGTAATATCTTTGAATTGTATTGCGTGTCAAGTATATTCTAAGAGCGTTTAATTTTTGCAATTGTAAGTAGTGTTATGGTAATGTTGCCCAAGACTTCGCAGTTAAAGTTGTTTCTATTCTAGTGATGATGCGTTGTAAAAGAATGATGCTCGATAAACATGCGGTATTTATTTTTGAAAGATCTTATCGCAAGTAATTCTAATTTAACTAAATGCAGATTTTTTATCGCTGGCTTGTACACTTTGGCTGAAATTTATCAAACTCACAAAACTTCGCTTTCATTCGTCTAATCAGCATTTTGGATGAAAATCAACAAGAGTGTTATCCGCTTCCTTGTTACTTCCCATGCCACTGGCGAGGAAGTATTGTAATCGTGAAGAATTTCTAAAATGAAATGTTACGATTTTTGGATGTTATTTATGACATGTACATACATTAAAGCATGTCACTCACTTCCATAGGTCTGTCTGTCTGTTCGCTAATATTTGACCCGACTATAACAATAGAAAGTACCTGGATTTAGATAACATTTTCACACAAGATTACTGCGATGCTAAGGGCAAGAGACTTTTGTAGTTTTTGAAATTGCATCCAGTAACGGCTGAGCTAAGGGTAAAAAATGAAAAAATAATTGCTTAAACTCCCTTTTTTTGACGTTTCACAGGTTCCTATGTATTTTTAGAAAATCTTTTCTAGGGGTTAGGGGTGAGAGACAGTATATGGGTGTTCAATGTCGACTAAAAAAATAGCTTATTTTGTTTTCATATTCATTATGTCACAAGGCTATTATGATATGTAATATGTACACATTTGATGGGGTCGGATATTTTGATTTTGACAGCTTTCATAGGTACCAGGGGAAAATGTATAGCCAGGGGGTGACATTTAAACTATGAAAAAGATACTTTGAATATGACATAAATACCATTGTCTTCAGTCTTCTGTTCCATTGCTCTTGAAACAAGAGAATCATATACATTGAGAGCTCACAAACCGTCAGTTTAACTGTGGTGTTTGGAAGCTACAATTTATTACGAAAATCCTAAATACTGTACGTTCGCCATATCTCAAATTTTTTTGGCGTTCGTATATTTATACACAGAAACATTTTGAGCATGCATCGGCCAAATATCACTTTTTATGAAAGTGCACCTGCCTCCAAAACTTTTTGGAGTGCGAGGGTGTAGCAGATTTTCTCACGGGACTCCAAATATTAATGATCCCCCAAATTGTTTATAAAATCTCACGAAATATGCAAATTTTAATTGGATTTAATTTTGTTATACACGTTCGTAGCTTGCTTTCTTCTCAGAGTGGCGAACTTATGCCGAGCATAATCCGTTTTGAACTGAAGACAGGGTTGCGTGTGAAGTGCAGACTCAACCTACATGACGCAATTTTTATCGTTCCACAACAAATGAAGATTAGAAGACGATTTTAGGTAGAAACTGAACTCAATTGAAACCATCTGTTATCCAAACTTATTTATCCCTCCGGTCGCTCTATAGCTCTAACCAATTTATCATCTACACCTGAGATATGTTTCCGTCTCCTAAAAATACCAATAAATTACTTCATGCGGAATAATAGCATCATTTAATAACGCACAAAGACCGAATCAATAATAAGAAAGTTCTAAAGCTTCCATTTGCAGCTGGGAAGGCTGAAAGGCTTCGTTTGCTGGCAACCATTCAATCCTGATAACTTTGGAAATACAATGATATCAGAAAATAACTATTAAATTTGTGTCATTTGTACGGTATCGTTGACTGTGCTATCGTAGGACATGTAACTGAAAACTTTGTATATGGTATTATGTCAGTGGTCTCTTTTTCGGTCAGTAGACAAATCGTTAGACTGTACTGGCCTCCGGGTAGTATCGATGACACAATATTTTTCTCTGGATGCACAATACAAATCAACCTCCAAGCACATAAAAAATTGCGTCAAGTAATTTGACTCTGCACTTTTTACGCCAGGCCGTGATCAGTTCATAAAGGATTAAGTTCAACGCAATTTAAATCCTCTGAGAAAAAATTGAGTTACAGACATGTAGAACAAAGAAATTCAATATATTTAGTCAGTCAAACAGGCCCATATATTTATTCATAGACATTTTTCCCTGCCCTGCTGGTAGTTACCGACCATCTGGCAACGTTGTCCGTTTCCACATTCTGTTTAGATAGACAGGAGTAATTAGGAGAGTAGTTTTAAGGGCAAATGTATGGGTAAATCTATGAAGTGTGAAATACGAAGTTGGGAGCGTATAAATATGATCAAAACAATTCATATACTCTTCCTAAAGCCCCGAATTTCAACCCCTACAAAAAATTTTCTGAAACTGATCAGGACCCTATTAAACGTCAAAAAACAAGGTTTGAGCGATTTTTCTTCTTTTGACGTTTGTCTCCGCCGCCACTGAACCTACTTTCAAAAACTACAAAGCTTTTGCGTCTTTGGAAGAGTAGTAACATTGTGTAAAAATTTCATCATAATGCGAGTTAGTGGACAAACCGACAGATAGACGGACCGACGGAAATGGTTTTTCGTAATGTACATGTCATAAATCATCCAAAACATATCTAATTTAAGTAAAAATGGCGTCAAGTATGTCGCCTCTGCACTTCCCACGCAGCGCCGTCATCACTTCATAAAAGATTATGTTCGGTACATGTGAGCCCCTTTGATAAAAAATGACGTCAAGTGGGATGACTCCGCACTTGCTACGCAACTCTGTCATCAATTCATAAGGGATTATATTCGGCAAAAGTTAGTCATTTTCAAATTTTTCAGGATTGTTACTTCCTAACCGATGGCGTGGGAAATAAAAAGCAACTGTTTTTTTGTCTTTCGAATTTTATTTTACATGTTTATAATCCCAATGGTATGCGGTTGACAGTAACAATTTTCAGCAATTATCTCGAGAGTTAACGCATCAAAACAAAGTCAGATATTACCATCAGGCTGAGAAATCTCTAGAAAACGAGACAAGACTAGGCACCGTAAACAAAAGCGTAAATTTAAACAATATACCGTTTACTTTAGATGTCGCATATTTACATTGTGATACGACAAGAATGTTAATCGTCCTCAGTTTCGAAGAAGGTTGAGTTGACAGTGAAACAAAATGCTAAGTACTAAATTGAATAGCATCACGTACTCTTGGTAGTTCATATATGTAAATACAGGGTGCACGTGATAAGCGCGCCAAACTAATTAGGTTTAACTCGTAAAAAATGGCGTTAAGTAGATTGACTATAATTCCTACGTCTTCAAGAGCGTACCTAGGGGGGGGGGGTGGCAGAGAGGCAGCTCCAACCCCTTTTCCCTAGCTCGGCAAAAATTAAATGGAGAGAACATTAAAAAAATCCTAAATTATTCATGTACAGGGTTCTCCATAAGCTGAATCAATATATATTCTTCTCTTCCTAACTGTGTCATAATTAGAGTTTCGATATGACGTTTCAGCTCTCAGTTTTTGGAATTTATACCGTTTTCGATGTCTTCATTATTACCCTTAAATCATGTAATGTTGTTCCTCATTCTATGAGATTAAACCAACTATATGAGGCACTTGAAATTTTATATCAATGCGTAACATGTTATCATCTTTGATATGTTAAGAAGTAAATGACTATATGATAAATTCGAGGCTTACTCAGGAAAAAAAAATGTAATAATGTATGACATTCCCATTTCCCGATTTTTCAACTCAGATTCCGCTCCACACATTTTCAAATTGTTGTGTTTGGAGTTTCACTAACGTGACCGGATGATTAGAATTTGAAAAACGAGTTTTGCTGGATTTCACAAAATTTGAATCCTTCATATAAACACTTGTCTACGCCTTGTCTCCTATGAAGAAAATTTTGATTGTATCCAAAATCATCAGAAATGAAAAAAACGATGAAGCCCAGTTTGGAAGATTTTTTGGTCATAATACTGGTACCATTAGACAGGCCTTTTATTTTTTCTTCAAAATCCAGTGATACTTTTCAAGTTCTAGAAGGATTAAATTATTTTTTTTTTCGGTTACTCTATCGCAACGGGACCGATTAACAAAGTTATCAATATTTTTCTGTCTATTTTCCAAGTGCCCGTGTTTTGAGCTGGGTACGTCCTTGCTTGTTTTCATCCAAATTGGCAAATTTCAAAGTGATACTTGGTATAATCGCTTAAGTAAGATCTATCGTAAACCTATATATCTCATTATATTAAATAATTTATGTTTCAATGGCAGATGTATAGAAAGTATAACAGGCCGTCTTTCACTGATACCAATGATGCATCACTGCAAACCCCCAATTTTAAATCTCCTCAAAGACTTTCTGAAACGTTGAAACGCGATTTTTGTTTTTGTAACAATTTTGTTCCCAGAGCTCCGCCGCCATTGAATCGATTTTCAAGATCTAGAAAGCTTTTCTATTTGCGTTATAGAGGGACTAAAGGTTAAGGAAGAAACAAACCTAAGCCACTCTCTGTATCAAGTAGCATCCAGATGTCTCGATACTACTCGGTATACAATTTGTTGGGGCTAGTATATTTATAAATTTCTAACCCCTTCAAGCAGACACCCTCTATATTTGCCCTTAAGAGAATGATAGAAATATTTTGTATATAAAGTATAAGGCTAACAATAAAAGTACCAGAGCGTACAAAACTTGATTCAGACTCAATACATAATGTTTACAGAGTTTTTCCTTCTAACTTAAAATATAAACCTATAAACGAGTCCATTAACTATTCGTGAAAAATGAGTTGTACTACTTAGTTTCAGACAAAGACGAGACAGCAGCGATGATACCGGACACGATAAAAAGCAGTAACAACCACCACCCGCCCCCTCCACATTTAACAGAAGACGGTCTCATTCTGCCAAGGAAACCTGCCAATCCAGTGAAAGAAAATACAGACAGGCAAAATCTACATCGAGAATTATTATTCAACCAAAAAGTGTAAGTAAAGACTTTTTTTTGTTCTGGAAACCTCGTTCATAATTTGAATATCTCAGTAATAGCACTCGCATATAATGAATTTTGCAAATTGACATTTACCATACTTTACAGGTTTGCGGTGCAAAATTTTCTGCTACAATTGAATAAAACTGTACACTAGGATATTTAGGGCACTTGATTTGAGCATGACCCGATTTGAACGTACCGCCGAGTTCCAACAAAGAGCCGTTCATTTCAGTTGGTAGGAGCCCAGATCACCGAGGACTTCATATGGCACAAACACATCTCATTAATCGCGGCAGTTGCTGGGAAAAAGCTAGGCTATTCGATTAAGGCTAAGAAGTATTTTCTCCCTATAATCACTCTAATCTGTACAAGGCCGTCGATGATCTAGCTCTCTTCTACCGTTATTTCAACCGACTTTGCTCCTAAGATGTTTCCTCCATGAGGCCGCCGCGCGATGTGTCTGCCAGACAGATCCGCCTGACTTTCGCCTCCCATCCCCACTCTGTACAAGGCTCAGATACGATTCGAGTACTGCTCACAAATTTGGTGTGCTGCGTCCATACTCGATGCTGTTTAGAGGAGAGCTGTCCGACTGACTGGTGACGGACGGTCTCGGTACCTTTTTGCACCTGCAAGCCGTCGGTGATCTGGCTCTCTTCTTCCGCTGTGTCAACGAGCTTTGCGCTTCATAGCTGTCCTTCATGATGCCGCCGCGCGATGAGCCTGCCTCCCAATCTAACCGTCTCGAACTTCATACATCAAAAACTGGCCAGTACGGCCGCTCATTTTTTCCTAGGATGTGGAACAATCTAGCTGAGGGAAGCTTTTCCCATTTCTATCAACCTTAGGCAGTTCAAAAATCGGGTCAACTAGGTGTCTCTAAGCTCATTATAACAGTTGCCTTCCCCGGTATTTAGGCTGTTGCCTACGCGGTAGCTTAGGTATAAAAAAATACAGTCTTTTACCCGCATGTGAAGCTGGGTCGGTACTGGACGAGTTGTTCCAAGTGGATTTGAGCTCGTTCAAAGGTGACTTTTTATAGGAAAATCTACATGATGCCAAAAAACCTACATAATGTGGAAACTGATATAATATCACTTTTTAAGTTAGGTACGTAATACTGACGCCGATTATTTCGGGGGAATCGATCCGGTTTCAGTGATTTCCAAACCAAAATCGACCATTGCAAACAACAACAAATAACAGTTGTACTGGTAGTTTGTGGTACTTCTGGCTCTTTACAACCAACACTTACTCTTGACATTCCAATCGGTGATACCACGCAACCATGCATTTTTAATACAAGTCGTATGGATCGCTCTCCTCAGATGGCGCTCAAAGCAAGATACAGAGTCATGTACGAGGGATGTCTTTTAAGTTTTGCATATAGAAACATAGTAGGCCGCGCGGATCGAACGTCATTACTGAATCTTAACCTCACTCTTTAGTAAACCTAAACTCAAAGTTTCACAACAATACGTGGAGTGTTCTCTCTACAGTGAATTTTTAAGTGTCACCAAGTCATTAGAAAAATGGAACTCAACCGAGAACATTTTCGCGCCATAATTTATTACAACTTTCAGATACAATTATCGCAACAAGAATGCCTTGCTGAGTTACTGTCTGTTTTCGGCAACGAAGCGCCACATCAGACGACAATTTTCCGTTGGTATGGAGGATTCAAACGTGGACGGGTGAGTATTAGCGACCATCCCAGGGTGGGTGCACCAAAAACGGCAGTCACCCAGGAAAACGTCGATGCTGTGCGCAAACTCGTCATTGAAGATAGACATGTGACATATCGTGAGATTGAGGCGTCCTTGGAGATCCCAAAGACCTCAATTCAAAAAAAATTTACATGAAGAATTAGGATTAAGAAAATTGGTTTCTCGTTGGATACCCCACCTGTTGAATGCCGAGTAGAAAGCAGCCAGCGTTAATTGGTGTCAAAAAACGGTTGACTGTTTCAATTCCAGAAACTCAAAAAATGTGTACAGCATTGTTAGTGGTGATGAATCGTGGATTTACTGTTATAAACCAGAAAATAAACGACAGTCGGCTGTTTGGGTGTTCCAAGGTGAAGCAAAGCCAACAAAAGTCATGCGTTCTCGAAGTGTTTCGAAAAAGATGGTCGCGACATTTGTGTCAAAAGCGGGTCATATTGCAACAGTTTCTCTTAATGAGCAAATAACTGTTACTGTGGATTGGTATACCACCATTTGTTTGTCAAAAGTCATCACCAAGCTTCGAAAAATCAACCCCGAAAGAAGAATCATCCTCCACCAAGACAATGCAAGCTCGCACACGGCCCAAAAAACAAGGCAGTATTTAACGGACGAAAACGTGGAATTATTGGACCATCCTCCATATAGTCCCGATCTAAGTCCTAACGATTTATTTACTTTCCCGAAAATTAAAAACAGACTGCGTGGTCAAGGTTCCAGTCACCAGAAGAAGCAGTTGACGCGTTCAAAAATGCCGTTTTGGATCTGACAGTAAACGAGTGGAATAAGTGCTTCGAAAATTGGTTCGAGCGCATGCAGATGTATATTAATCTTCGTGGAGAATACTTCGAAAAACAATAAAGTCATTTAAAACTACCTACCGTGTTGCTTTATTTCCGTATGCAAAACTTAAAGGATATCCCTCGTATACCTACTACTTACTCTAGTGATGTGCTGCCTAGTTAATTTCGGTGAACTAGTTCGATAAGTCTTGTTCACTAAAACGAACTAATTTGTTGTAGGAACTAGTCCGCGAACGAACTATTTTACCCAATAATACCACATGCCAGTGTAAAACGTCGCCTTAAATCTGATCGTCAGAGGTAACAGCATCGGGCGCAGTTAGTTTTTGGATGGGTAACCGCTTCATAAAACTTCATACTGTTGATTTTTTGGTTCTTTTTTTTCTTTTTATTAAAATGGATGTTTCAAATTTAAACATTCCACATAAACATTCACCATAGTAGGTGTAGCTATGAAATATACACATTTTCTAACAATCTCAAATTATGTTAATTTTTGTTTTCACCAGTTCAGAAAATTTTAAATGAACAATACCTTTGATTAGGGTTGCGTGATGTTCTCCCTTTAGGAGTAACGGCCCTCTTTTTAGTATCGCAAACGAAAGCAAAGCAGAAAATGAACCGAGGAAGAAGAAAACATGCTCAGACTTTTGCAACCTTTTGCAGCAAGGACTATAGAAGTGAATAAGTATTTTAATGAACCGCTTTCACCAAGAACAGAGGATTCTCTGAAGATCATTTGAGGTGGTTAAAGAACATTTGTGTCTGATAGCGACATCTGAGTGGCTTTTTTTAAAGTCTTGTCAGAAAGAAGAGGTAGACTAGAAGCCAATAACATTCGAAAAATAATATATTTAAATGGAAATTTCTTAGTAATTGCCATTTTCATTTTAGTATTATTTTAGTAGTAATTTCTTCATTAGCGGCACTGGGTGATAAGTAGCATAAAAGTCAGCAAATTCATTTCTTTCAGCCTTTGTGTCTAACATAATTCATTATTTTTTTTAAATAGCTTCTACCTTCTACTTACTTGGTTGCCTGCGGTGGTGTCCCGTCTCATATCTCTATTCTTGTTCCTTCACTAGTTTGATTGAATCATCAGGTCCTGTAATACCAATGATTAACTAGTTCAGTCATAGGAAGTGTTGGTTTGAACTAGTTCGTTCGCGAACACATCACTAATTTACACCCCCTGGGCTACACGAAATCAAAAGGATAGCGCAGTATAAAATTTTCCATGTAAAATGGAGTGCTCCACCAACCTGTAACAGTGCCAACCAACTTATCTACCCTATCGTCGTATATCGCGAAATGTTTGTGACAGCCAGCTCGCAGAATTCAACAACTGAAAGTTGGCGAATAGCTGCAGACAGGAAGCTTCAATCGATTTAGATCGCGGACCCGAGATCCATATATTGCTGGTGACAAGCAACACAATGTGCCAACGCAAAAGTTGATGAATATGGTAGACGTGATATGATGTTATGATGGATGATTACCTTTTATAGGCTCGATGAACAGGCGGCTTGATAAACCTGTTCATTATGTCGGCAATGGCGAGGTTAGAAGTTGATGTCATCATACAAGCCTTTTGAGTCATTCCAAGATTCATTTGAAGGCTTTAGAGTTACCTTTATAAACGTTCTTTGAGGGGGAAACAATGACGCTTCCTTGTGGAACGTTTAAGGAATGATTTAAAATCTGCTTTTGTCATCACAAGTTCTCACCGATGTTAGGTTTCTCTTTGCTGGCCGTATCTATTTAATATTTTGGTGATACATTTTGGACGTTTTTTTGCTAAATCTTACTGAGCAATGCAAAATAGTAATAAAAAGTGTTTTGCTTCCTTGGTTTTATAGCGAATAACGATTTTATAGCAGGGCGGACTAGGTTAAATATAGGCAATTAGTATTTCAATATTGACTTGAACAGTTTTTACTAATGATACAGCCTAAAATTTTTCAAATATTTTATTCACAATCTGTAATTATTCGACGGTTTTTCATAATAATGAGTAAAATTACAAAAGTAAATATCCGAAAAAGGCAAGGAAAAATTCCTGTTATTAGAAGCTGCCAAAAACGACTTTATAAGTTTCGTTTATTTGCCTAACTGTTATATAAACCCTCTACTTATTTTTGTTTAATGTTATCCCATAATTGACTCTGTTATAATTAGTATAGATCCCTGTAATCTTATTCCAAGCACTATTATTAATTTTAAATAAAGGAGCTAATTACATTATTTGGTTTATTTTCATCTATACCTTTAAACTTGTCTAGTATTTATACTAATGCTGTTTTTTTTTTAATTTACTGTAACTCGTTATTACGAAAAACCGTCGATTAATAATATACAGATTCTGAGTAAAATAATCTTCAAGCTGTATAAATTCGCTCAAACTGTCAGTGTTTCAATACTGGTTGCATGTGTTTAGGCTAGTCCGCTATAAAATCGCCATTCGGTA